TGACATGTCTGAACTGGCAATCAACATATCATCTACATAGAGTAGTAGAATGATATAAGAACCCTTAAACTTCTTGATGTAACAACAATGGTCATTGTCACATCTCTTGTAACCAATCCTTTCCATAAAGTTATCAAACTTTAAGTACCATTGTCYGGGCGCTTGTTTCAGACCATACAAACTCTTCTTAAGTTTACACACCAAGTTTTCTTTGTCTTTAACCTGAAAACCTTCTGGTTGTGTCATGTAAATGTCTTCATGTAGGTCACCGTGTAGAAAAGCTGTCTTGACATCCAGCTGCTCTAGATGTAAGCCTTCTGCTGCTACAATACCGAGAACAAGCCGGATGGTAGTCATCTTCACCACTGGAGAGAAAATTTCATTGAAATCAATTCCCTCTTTCTGTTGAAACCCCTTGACTACTAATCTGGCTTTGTAACGTTTAGTGCCATCATGTTCATCCTTGACCCTGAAAACCTATTTGTTCTGAAGAGCCTTCTTCCCATATGGAAGCTTCGTTAGAAGCCAGGTTTTGTTCTTCTCAAGCGACTTCATTTCATCTTTCATTGCTAGCTCCCACTGCAATGAGTCTTTCAACCCCATAGCTTCAGAGTAACACTCGGGTTCACCATTTTCTGTCAAGAGAATGTAGTTGACAGATGGTGAATATCTTTCTGGTGGTCTGGTGACTCTGGAAGATCTTCTTGGTTGAACTTGAGGTGTGACTGGGGATTCTGGAGTTGGAGGACTGGTTTCTTCATCTTCAGAATCATTACTGGAATTATCCCCTGAGCTCTCACTGTCAGTTGAATCATCCCCAGATTCAGGGATTTCGAYTAAAGCTTCTTTCTTCTTTTCATCACCTTCAAACTCAACATACTTCTTCTGAACTTCTGGACTTTCGTTGTTTCTGTCTTTGTATAACTCAGTTTCGTTAAAGGTGATGTTCTTGCTTCGGATTAGCTTTCTGTTTTCACTATCCCAAAGCCTGTAACCCATTTGTTCTGACCCATAACCAATGAATGTGCACTTCTTGGTCTTTGAATCAAGTTTATCCCTGTCACAATCATTTAACAAACTGTAAGCACTACAGCCAAAGACTTTCAGGTGTTTGAGACTTACTTCCTTCCCTTGCCACATTTCTTCTGGTAATTTAAAATCCAAGGGAACACACGATGAACGGTTGATCAAGTAGGCTGCAGTGTTAACTGCATCGGCCCAGAATGTCTTAGGTAAACCGGCATTCAACCTCATGCTCCTAGCCCTTTCATTCAGAGTTCTATTCATTCTTTCAGCTACACCATTCTGCTRAGGGGTTCCTGGGACCGTTTTGATCATCTTTATCCCTTGCTTGGCACAATAGTCGACAAACTCCTTGCTTATGTATTCACCACCATTATCCGACTTCAGGCATTTTACCTTCAAATCAGTTTCATTTTCAACAGCAGATTTCCATATCTTAAAAGTATCAAATACATCAGATTTATTTTTAAGAAAATAGACCCATACCTTGCGTGTTGAGTCATCGATAAAGGTTACATAGTAGTTTTTGCCTCCTAGAGATGAAACTGGTGTTGGCCCAAATACATCCGAGTGAACAAGCTCCAAYTTCTGAGCTTTTGGTGTCTTCCCTGTCTTTGCAAAAGTAACCCGCTTTTGTTTCCCGAGAACACAGGATTCACAAAATTCAGTTTCGACTTTCTTCAAGTCTGGAAACTTCCCTCTCTGAGCCAACATCTTCAATCCCTTATCGCTCATGTGTCCGAGTCGTTGGTGCCATAAATTTGATGGACTCGGATTGGTGGTTACGGTATGAACACCATCACAAGGTATCTCAACCATGTATAGAGTGYCWTTCTTCTTTCCTTTGGCAATCACCAAGTTGCCTTTGATCACTTTCCAATGTCCACCCCCAAAGTGAACATTRAGCCCTTCATCATCCAACTTACCAACAGAAATCAACTTCCTCCTCAAGTTTGGAATAACCCTGACATCTTTCAATGTCCARGTGGTTCCCATGGAGGTCTTCAAATCTACGTCTCCRATACCCGTAATATCAAGCACTTGATCATCGGCCAAACGAACTTTGCCAAGATTACCTGTTTGCAGGTTCTTGACCATTTCTGGGCATGAGACAGCATGGAAAGAAGCACCYGAATCCATAATCCAGGATTCTACTGAATTCTCAACAGAACATATGAGAAAATCTCCTGATTYTTCAGAKGATATATTGTTTACTTCTTTCTTTGCAGCATGTGGTTTTGGGCATTGGTTTCTAAAGTGACCTTTTTCTTTGCAGTTCCAACATTCAATATCCTTTCGGTTCTTGGACTGCCCCCTTTTTCTGGATTTTGACCTGCCTCGATTTTGTCCTCTATCATTCCTTCTTCCTCTACTTTCTGTATGTAACAGAGAACTAGAACTGGAAGATTCTCCATTACTTCTTCTTCTAATGTCTTCATTTAAAATCAAGTCACGAATGCTATCAAATGCTAGCTTAGCAGTACCGGATGCACTACTAACGGTTGTGACTGTGCCTGACCAACTGTCGGGCAAAGATGATAAAAGAAGAAGAGCTTGTACTTCATCTTCAAACTTTATTTCAACAGAGGCTAAATGAGAGATAATCGAGTTGAATTCGTTTATGTGAGTTGCAACCGACATACCTTCCTTCATCTTGGTGTTAACCAATTGTCGGATGAGAAACACTTTGTTTGAAGCGGATGGTTTCTCATACATATTGGACAAASCTTTCAATACACCGTACGTAGTTGTTTCATTGACAATGTTATACGCAACACTCTTTGCCAAAGAAAGCCTAACCACCCCCAAAGCTTGTCTGTCCAACAACTTCCATTCATCATYGAACATGTCATCCGGTTGTTCACCCAACATAGGTAAATGCAAACTTTTCTGATACAGCAAATCTTCAATTTGCATTTTCCAAAACCCATAATCACTACCATCAAACTTGTCAATCTTGATCTTACTGTCCTCTGCCATTTTAACAAACAAATTACCAAATTGCTACTAACCAACAGGTTCGTATAGCAAAAAATGGCAATTATACGAGCGGAAGCAATAAAATAGAAAAAACGAGACTTTTTTATTTCACGTGTTAAATGGCGATAATCTTGTAAGAAGATCTTGATGCAAGTGTGAGGGGCAAAGAACACACTCCCTTTTACCTTTCTGTTTTCCACGTTCCAGTGTTCCACCAAGCTCCCTTTTTTTTTCTTTTCTTTAAAACACCTCCCTGCACTTCTCTTTCTCCCCAAAAAAAAAAACTCTTTTTTTTTCCTCGTTCTGCCAGAAGGCAGCAGCTGCTGCGAAGAGAGAGGGTAAGCCGGCAGCTGCGGCGACTTCAGACAGCAGCAGCGGCGACTTCAGACGGCGGCGGCGGCGGCCGGTGCGATGAACGGGAGCTGGTGGTGATGGTGTCCACACCCTAGTCTTGATTTTTTTTTTCAACAGGGTAAGTTCCTTCACCTTCTCTGTTCGTATGAATCAATAGAGAGCCAAAGCTCTGATACCAGTTGTTGGGATCAGACAAGTATCATACGAACACACACACTCTGTTCTTACAAACAGTAACAATCAAGAACACAAGAATTTAAGGTGGTTCAGTCTAA